CAGATACCACGACACTGCTGGTTATGCTTGTCACTTGTGAGAAGACATATCAAACCGTTGGCTCATTTCAGGCTTTTAGCCTTGCTGATACAGATGCTGACCTCAGCATTTCAGAAAAGAAGATACGAGTCAACACTGACACCACAGACAATTTTAGGCTGACAGATAACAAGCAAACTGAAAGGTCCTTGCAAACACAACAAGAGATATCAGCAGACTGGATTAGACTGGGAAAATGTGCTTGCTCTTTATCAGAATGTGACCTCAATCCATCTGTGTGAGCAACCGTACAACACTTGAAGGAATATTCTGGGTTCTTTGACAAATTCAGCTCAATTGACAGCATTTGTGGCATGGTGTTGATTACCTCAAACATTCATTTTGACTCGTCCCTGTTTCTGATGTTACAGAGTGAGGCACTTACAATGGAAGTGAATGGAATGACTTTTTTTTGTTTTTTGAGGGTTTAGAGGCAGAAATGTGAATCTAATAATTTTATAAAAACACTTTTCTTGAAACTCGGGTATTATTTGAGCTGCAAATTTGTGGTTACAGAGAACTGGTTAGTACGTGATTTTATCACACTAAATCATGTTATCATAGGCTATTGTTTATTTCTTGTGGTTATAATTTTGAAACAGTAAGGATTTTATGGCCTCATTTATTGCTATTAAACACTTCCCTGTAAACCAGATTATTCCTTTAAAGACGACTAGTTATATTCATATTCTCATGAAGCTAATTATTATTGTTGTTATATCCATTCTACTTTGTATGGCTTTGTGAAGATGTAGAAACATCACACAGATGACTGACTGTTGTGCAGTTACATAAATAGGTTACCATACAAATTATTTAAGACATGCAGATACACAAAACAATAAGTTTGACAATGATTATCATATTTAATATAACATGAAATAACATTTAGCGTATACGTATCATGCATATTAGGCTATGCAGACAAAGTTTTGTGAAATCGGCAAAAAAGGCACTGCTGGCCTTTTCATTGCGCGGAGAGCAGAGCCACCTGCCGGCTCACTCCTGTATCTGCTGCCATGGTCCAAGTAAATGTCTGAATCTGAATAGGTCATGAATATTAATTAGGTCATTCTCGCGTTGCTTGATTTGCAAGAAAGTCCACGCACGTAACCTAAGTAGCCTAATAGTATTGATGAGTTTAGCCTTTGCAATTGCAGGATCCTAAATGCCGTAGCCTGAGTCTGACCACCTGCTTCCCAAGGGCTGCCTTTCAGCCAATCAAGCAAGCTTACTGGGCGAACTTTGCGTGATCTAATTAATATTCATGAGCGGTGTGTTCTCAATGTTAGGATTAGTGGGATGAATTCGCCTCCTCTGGCGGTCATTACACTGGATGTGATACCGTACACTGTCAGTAGAGGCGCTGTTGCTATTTGAATGATCTTTGGCAATCTGTTGCTGTCTTTAGTGGGTCAGATGTAAGCGATAAAGCAAGGCAAATGATTGAGAAATTACATCAAGGTGGTGGATTAGTCGTTACACTCTAAAAATACTGGGTTAAATACAACCCAGTGCTGGGTAAAATAGGGACAAACCCAGCAATTGGGTTGTTTGACCCAGCGGTTGGGTTACTATCCAGAAGGTTGGGTTAAACATTTAACCCAACCGCT